TTAGAAACTACTTAGAAGCTCCAGATAGTCCACAATGTATTGGCATAGGCAATAATGGGTATGACAAAGTATGACACTAATAGGTTACCAGTAAACTTCTGAATGCAATGCAAAGTTTCTGCCTGGCCTAGACAATTGGGCAGATTCCATCATCCATACTCATACATTAACTTGATTTTAATCATGATCTGTAGCTTTAAAGTGCCATAAGGCATTTGAATACATTGAAAGAGGCGCATTCAGAGGTGCTATTCAACCAGTTTGGATCGGTTCGCTCAAACCGGTAGCGGAAATCTCTCTATGCCGTCCTATTTAGGCACATTTTTGAGGCTGGGCACATGCCCGGAAGGTGCGCACACAAGCAAAGCGCATGCACGGAAGGCCCGTGCATGCGCATGCGTGGAAGTGGCACATGCTCACATTTGCAATCCGGTAGGAAAGGTAAGTGAATACCACCCCTGGGCGCATTGAATAAGCACTTGTAGGAAGCATGCAGGTAGGCTTCCTCTTGCTTATATGTGTAGAAGAACAACTGTTTTTTATTGCAGGCATATCCAGCTAAAGTGCTGACTGTGGCATATTTGCAGACTGGGAAAACCTTCGTAGCAACCATGCTGAGCCTTCTGAAGAAGACAGCTCTTTTCATACTTCAGGAAGGGAATTTTTTTGCTCATACAATAAGCTTCATAAAATGTCCTTTTCAGATGCTTTGCATATATATTTTAGTACACTATTTGCTAGTCAGTGCTAAAAGGTTTAGGGTTGCTTTCTATATTTCATCTCTCATTTTATTGTTTTTCTCTCCCGTTTTCCTCCAAACTGTACAATTGCCACAAACAGTATATAAACCTTGTTAGGACCTTGAAAAAGGAACTGCTTATCTTTGAGGGGACCACAAAGGTGCCTTGTTTATTTTGCTTCCCAGAATTCCTGAAGAAACATGCCTCTTCCTTCTGTCATGATAATTCTGAATATTTCTCCTTCTACATCTCCCAGTTCCTAAAGCAAAACCTCACTATTCCCAGTCATGCCCTTTTCCCTTCCATTTCTTCTAGTTTCTCTTAAAACATAACATGTGTTGAATTAATTCAGGAGCCACAAGACTCTTTTCTGTGATTTAGAACAATGTTATCCAATCCTAAATGGCATATTATAAACAATAAAAATAGCTATTGCAGACTAGATGGCACCAGTTTCACATGCCATCATGACATTGTTCTGTTGTATTAGTGTTAGCTGCAACATAATCAAATTTTACTTTGAGGTGTGTATGGAAAAGACTGGTGGGAGCAATGTAATGTCCTTTTCTTGTCAGAAAGAAAGAAAAGAAGGAAGAAAGGAAGGAAAAACATTGACTATATCACTGTATCTAAAACTTTAACAGAAAGTAAATTTAATCAATGACTATTTTTCCCCCAACTGATTTAGAGAATGTTTTTGTCATAACCCAAACCAACTCTAGAAGGAATAAGGAAGATGAATGACTATGGACTAAAGATAGAATTCCCTTGGTCTTAACTATCACGCATGTATGCCGTAAGATGAATTTGCAATTATCCCAATAGAGCCAAACATTTGTCATATCCATAAATAGGATAGTAACCTTGTGGCCTTTGATTACTTGAGGGAAAAATACTTGATAAAATGTATAAGAAATAGGTGATCAATACATACAAGATGGAGTGTTTATTTTAAAAAATGAACACAACATATTGCCACTGGCAAAGTTGAATGCAGAAAAGCAGTCTATGAAGAGACCTGTCAGACCAATACTGAAAATGAAAATATGTGTACTCTATATAGGTGAATTATTTTTTTAAAAAAATAAAAATATCCTGTTCAGTCAGTTTGAAGGCTGGTCATATCCAGCATTCTGTTTATCAGACTTACCTGTCCAATACAACTGTTAATTATGAAGCTTATATAGCTACCCTCCCCCTTATCTATATCATTTCCCAGCTGTTCTGCTGGGAATGTGTCGTGGCATGCTGACAAGCAGATTCCGAGGGCAAGTTAAAACAAAACCCTTCCTAACAGTAAGAGCAGTCTGACACAGACCCAATTACCCAGAGAAATGAAAGACTGTCATTCTCTATATATGTTCAAGTGAGGGCTAGAGAGACATCTGTCTTGGATGCTTTCACTGAGCAAGAGGTTAGCCAAATACCCCTCCCGACTCTGTCAATTGATATAATTGGAACTCTAATTATATTCAGAATAACTGTGTTTTGAGCAAGTCTCAGTTATGTGCTGTCATCCTCAGGTCTGTAACTGAGATCTCCAGGTCCTACTATGAACTTGAAAAGCAGTATGGTCATAATTTCCCAAAACTGATCACAGTTTTTGCATTAATTTGGAATTGTTTTGTGTCACAAACCCCAGCTGTATACTATTACATGGTATAATATTACCATGAGTTTCATCTTTCATTGATATATTGCAAGCTTTGAGCCTCCAGGAGATTCCAAGAATAGCTACTGTATTTGCAAAAGCTCAGTTCAAGTAAGAACATATCATGTGAGTTGTGTCATGGGATAAGCTGAGTGAGAAATGCCATTGTTCAGGGAAATTCTGCATTGATCATCACTACGGCAAGATCACAAAGATTTCATGGATGAGCATTGATAAGACAGGAAGATCAATCAGAAACAAAATGAGTGTAGAAAGGAGAATGAAACCAGGAACAGTTAGCTCTTGTAGTACTGATGTGGACACAATGCAATCAGTGAATAGAGTAAGAACAGATGGGCTTCCAATTTCAAATGTGCACCTTGCCCCCACAAGCTACAGCACTCATCTATAAAGCAAAGTTATTTTGCAGAGGACAGATAAATTTGTCTGATAATAGTGGTTTGGAAGGTGGGAAAAACACTTGCTATTAATTTCTACTTCCATGTTTCAGAATTTAGCTCTGATTGTTTTTGTGTATAATGAAAAATGGTTGGTTTCTAGGCTACTTTATGAAGACTTGTGTGCTTCCTGAACTTTATATATGAATTAGGTCAATGGTGGGTTGCCCCCAGTTCGCACCGGTTCTATAGAACCGGTAGTAAAACCAGCGGGAGGCTCCGCCCACCGACCCCGATGTCATCAGAACGCTTCTGTGCATGCGCAGAAGCTTCTGCACATGCGTGCGGCCCCGTTGCGAACCAGTAGTAAAGGTAAGTAGAACCCACACCTGAACTAGGTCATCCCTTATCGGAAACTCCCTTATTGGAAATTCTCTTCAGATCTTTGTTTAAGAAAACAAGAATGGCCTTCAAAAGCATGCAAATAAAGTTCCATCTACTAGATGGTGCCAAATGTACCATGCTCCTGAGCAGATATAAAATTGGCCTGAGGCCAAAGTAGGATGGCTACTTTGGCCTCAGACCAAACATACAAGAATTGAAGGCTGAAAACTTTAGGTGTTAGCAACCAGTCCTCTTAATTTTTTGTGTAATCTCTCAGAAACTTTGTCTCATCTCACAAAAGTTGTATATATCATTATTAAAACGACATAAAGTGCAGTTTTAAAACTATTTTAAGGAGAGTAGTTGTGCTTATTGTATGTCTCTCCCTTTGGGTTTCAATAGGACAGGGCTCTCATAACAAGGCCAAGGACCTCAAGTATATTTTATAACATAGGCTGGATCATAATGGTGAGGGTAGTTCTTCCCATGTTACATATCCAGTCAGTCTAATACATAAAAATAAAAATAGGCTTTTCAACAAGACAGAACTGAGGTAATATAACCTGACTATGGTAATTTAGGCAAGGACTGTTATTTCTAGGTCAAGTTACAAGCATTTCAATTCAGTAGTTTAGATAAGGTGCAATTAGTGAATTAATGACTGATAAAATATAACGAAGGAATGAACCATTAATAGCAATAGCACTTAGATACCGCTTCACAGTGCTTTACAACCCTCTCTAAGCGGTTTACAGAATCAGCATCTTGCCCCCAGCAATTTGGTTCCTCATTAATGATGGAAAACACTCAGTAGTGCTGTTGATTGATTAGCAGGGAGCTCAGTTTGTTCCTGAGCAGATTTGAAATTAGATCTCGTAATGTCTGTAGTACTCCCAATCCTGGTTTTTCCAGACAGGGTTATAATTGAATTTCCAACTGATATTGGCAGGTGGGGGGGGGAGGTGTTCCCTGGTTGCTGCTTCCACAGATAGTATGAAATGAAGCTGTGAATTTGATATATTTCAGAGGAAGTGCAAGCTTGTCCAAAACAGTAAGTCTAGAACAGCAGATTCCATCATCCATTTTTTTTTTTGTTTGGACAAAGTATGTTTGACCAGATTGTAGAGCAAATGTATTTTGCACTGCAACAGATCTATTTCTATGAAATTGTTACTGTGGATGTGCCAGCATAGGGTGCTCTTTTATGAAATGAAATCTTTATCTGAAGCGAGACTTGGAATAGGACGCAAAACAACAATGGCTTTTGTGCTGGGTCATGTGTTCAAATGATCGTAAAACCATTACAGAGATTGTATTGAAATTAATGGTATTTTCTCCAGTAAGAAAGATATAAAATATTTGTATAAAACTTCTCATTGTCATGACTTGGTGAGGAAATGAAAAATTAACTTGGTGCTATTTAAATAATAATAAAAACATCCCCAAAGATTAATTCAATTTTTTAAAAGGTACATATAACAATGAGCATGAAACAGATGCAATTCAGGATCCAATTATTATAATGAGACCGTGTGCATGCACAAAATTTTACAGATAGAAGTACCATCTTGGGAAAACAGACAACATGAGATTAATCCTGAGGGTAACATACATTTCTGACCAATTCATTGTTTTTCACACTAAACAAGTTTTGCTATAAAACAATTAAAGGGCTTTATGAAGTAGGCCTGCATACTAGAAACACAAATTTTCCTGTGAAAAAACCTTGCCTAGCCTTATACCTATTTGATGAAAACAAAAGATCTAACTATCTTATTTAAACCAGCATGCTGTTTCACAATGGCCAGAAATAATCCAAGACAACACTATATTCCTTGACTTTTATTTCTAGGTAGTGGAATAGGAATACAAAGACAGTGGGAGCTTTGGACGAACAAGGCAATATTGCGTGAATAAAGTTTCTTTTTAGAGTTGCTGTTATACAGTGGGATTCGTCAAAGTATCCCTTGTTCCCAGAGTCTGTGTTCCCCTGTTATCAATTCCAGCTTTTGTTGGCTCTGTAAATGTTTGTAATGTTTTATGGCCAAGTTGACAATTTCGTTTCCTGAGAAGAATATTTGATGATGGGAAGGTGCCTAATTTGATGCCAGATGGTTGAGCTGGTGTTTCCTTTTCTCTGGAAAGATGTATTTGGATTAGGATCGTGTAGCTTAACCCCAAAATTCTCCTTTAGAAGGGAAAGCAAGCAAGGAAAAGTTTGAAAAGAAGAAAACTTTATCTCCTTAGCAAGGCCAGGGAAGAAAATGAAAAACAGGATTTGGATAGCTCTTGGCAGGATGTTTTCCTAGATTACATCAACCTAAATATGATTTTGAAACAACATTACATATCAGCCTGGTAATTCTGTAAAACCAAATATCACTTTTGATTAATGAAAAATGCTGCCAGCTGAGTGGCTAAAATGAAATGGCACTTTTACAAGGATCTCTACTTCACAGCAAAGGGCTTTATGTATCATGTTTTTAATAAATGGATGTTTAATGGTTCAGCGTGATCCCTTCATGTTAAACTCACTGCCGACTTTTGTATCCATATATGAAAAAGCTTTAGTGTTGCAACCTCATGCTAACAAACTAGTCCTTGTGTAGCAGTTGTAATACTTTGAATTTGAGACGCTTGGCTTGGATATTAAGGGGATTGTTTGCTATTTCAAAAGGTTTTTCTCCCATGTAATGTACAGTAACATCACTGCAATGTTATAGTCCTTTTACTCTTTCTCAGCTTCTGTAATGTGTAGATATAATTGCAGACTCTGTTCTAGATTCTCCTGTTTTCGCCTAGGTTTCCTGCAAAATTCAACATAAAGGGATAACATAAATTTAAAATGCTGCTCCAGCTTTTCTTACTACCGTATAGATAGTCCTCAATATACAAAGACAATTGTGCCCAAAATAAAATGTTTTGCCCCACTATGATACTGTGTTATTTATGAATTATAAAAACATGTGCTTCTGCTTGTGTTACTTGGTTTGTATTCTTTAATTCATCCCTAACAGGTGTGGATTATGCTAGAAGCAATGAGATTGTCAACTGGGAGCATGTGATGACATGAAAGCTTATTAAATGTTTGTTATTTTAAGCTTCAATAAGTCTGAATTAAAATCTTTTTTTTTTCTTTGCACAAATATGGAAATGAAAATTGCTGAATAATATAAGGGTAGAAATAGAGAATATGCGAGGAGAAAAATGGTTCAAATGTAGCAAGTAGAGCCATTCGTTTTGCCAGTGTCATCCATTCCATTGGTGGAAATATACTTTGGATGCACCCTGAGTTATCCATTATATTAGGCACCCAATATTCATCCTTTTTTAGTTTTGAGGGAAAATTAGAATTGGTAGAGAGTAAATATTTTGCAACCCAAGACCTTTTCTGTTTACTGCTGATTGTGGTGTGGAGCCTGCTGATTGTGATGAAAGGTTTAAAGATTTCCCTGTCCCATTGCGACTCAAGGGGCCGGTGCTCATCTACGATTCTCAGCCTAGGGACCCGGCATTGTCTGAAAGACGTTTTTTGTCATCTTGTAGCGAGCATGTAAATGCGGAATGCATTGCAGTAACCTTACCTGCTGAAGCAGTACCTATTTATCTACTCGCATTTGCATGTTTTTGAACTACTAGGTTGGCAGGAGCTGGAGGGAATAACAGGAGCTCACTCTGTCACGTGGTGCTTGGGTCTCGAACCCAGGCTGTCAAGCCTAGCATCTTAACCGCTGAGCCATTGTGCTCAGTGGTGCTGTATTATTAGCTATGCTTCTTTTCTCTTTCTTAGAATGGAGCCATCCATGCAATCTCTGATCATAAATCAATGTGATGTTGTGACACTGTGCAACCATTGGATTTGTAGTTGAGTCAGGAAGGAAAAGAAAGTCAATTTGAGACTAAGAGCAATGTTCCTTCAATCAGCCACATGGATAATTCCAGCTGGTCAGATCTCCAATTGCTCTCATGCTGCATGTGTAATTCTTTTCATTTCTCCCAAATCTAATCTTTTCCTAAAAATTACTATCAGGAGATGCTTTGGTACTGCTGAAAACGTTGAAATAATTAGCTTCATTCCTTTCAACTCAGTCCTATTTTATGATGGGGATAGCATGTAACAAGGAGGAGAAAATGACTAAATGCAGCAATATTGAATTTCAAATGAAGGGAAAGCAAATAAGAACGCAAGTTGTAACAGCAGAATGAAATGTAAACTGTCAGTAGAACCTAAGCCAATCAGCAAATCATTGGTTAATTATCCAACAATTAACATATGTTTTTGATTCTAAGCTATCGTAAACAACAGGCTGGCAACAGACAAGAATCAAGCAGAAAGCTTTGGGAAGAGCCTATTGCAAAGAAGAAAGAGAATAATTTGATTTATATGCTGCCCTTCTCCGGAGACTCAGGGCAGCTTACAGTGCGTTAAGCAATAGCCTTCATACTTTTGTATATTTTTATACAAAGTCAGCTTATTACCCCCACAATCTGGGTCCTCATTTTACCTATCTTAGAAAGGATGGAAGGCTGAGTCAACCTTGAGCCTGATGAGATTTGAACTTGCAGTAATTGCAGGCAGCTGATGTTAATAACTGTTAATAACAGTTAATAACAGTGCTTTAGTCTGCCAGCTCTTTTTTCATTTCTCTTGGATATTGATATCCAAGAGAAATGAATTTGTAAATCAAGGCAGAAAATGTAGAACACATTTTGAGTATATGGTAATGTTAAAATAGAAGATGATTTCTCCATTAACCAGCATCTAATTGACCTTTCAAAGAAAAACAGCAGAGAATGTCATTCACGTACTTAAAGTCATTGGGTCTGAGCAGAGAATATTAGTTTTCTGGAGTATCTATTGAGTGATGATCAGATAACAACACTAGTAGCTTCTATATTAGATTCAACAGAGATAATGCCCAGGGCTATGTTGTTCTTTTATATTTCAAAAAACAAGGTGGAAAAATCCCCATATAATTATTCAGTGAAAAACCATGAAGAGCTAGAAAATGTATTGCAGAAATGCTTGCTTATATCTCCTATGATTCTCTAGGCGTAGGTGAGAGTAAAAAAGTATTTTCGCACAGCTACAATACATTTGGTTCTGAACATAAGAGCCCATGTACTTCATTTGGAGATATTCTTCAGATAGGGTTATTATTATTCAGGCTGCTTCAATCATAGCTGCAACTCTAAGCAGCTTACAGAGTATAGATAATTAAAATTAAAGCAACAACACAAGAACAACAGATGAGACAAATAATATTGCTGAGATCCGCATTATAACCAATTACACACCACATAAAACATAGGTCAAAAAGCTGGATCAAAAATTACTCTTTCCTGGGGCCTGCTGAAGAAGCCAGGTTTTTGAAAATGGAACAGGGTTGAAGCCATGTAGATTTCAGAGTGAAGACTATTTCATCTTTAATTAGACAGTTCCAAACCTAATTTATTGGAGAGAGGATTGGGAGACATGTATTACTGAGCCCAGTGGTGGGTTGCCCCTGGTTGCGAACCGGTAGTAAAACTGGTGGGAGGCCCCACCCACCACCCCAGATGTCATCATTGGCGATCTGCGCATGTGCAGAAGCATTCAATCCCATTGTGAACCGGTAGTAAAGGTAAGTAGAACCCACCTGACTGAGCCCAAATGTTCTTTAGGTTCTATGAACAGGCACCGATAGTTGTTGCATACAATACCTTCTCTTTGAAGGTTCTACAATAACCTCAACATTCTTTTCTATTGTGCTGCATTTCACAAAAATGTGAACCCTTAATCCAGAAAGACTAAGAGCATCTGCAAAGTCTACAGCAAGCCACATTGGTGCTTAGTGGGGAAGGGAGGGGGGAGGCAAATGGGACCTTTCAAACAATAAAGGGATAAATGTAAAATAATTACCTCCTCCTACTCTTTTATCTACTTCTCTTCCATTGACCGAGCTTTTCTCCAAAGAATTTAGGATGGTGTAGGTAAAATTAATAGAGAGATAAAAATAGTGGCAATGGTTTCACATGGGCAAGGTGAAAACAACTTCTGTTTATATAAACTGTAGTACATTCATGCGAACAAGATGGAAAAAGGAAGATCCGTGTTATATTAGAAAGTTTTCGAAAGTAGTTAGCAAAGGAAGTGCAAATATAGTGTCCTTTAGCAGTGGTAGAATTCAAATTTTTACTACCGGTTCTGTGGGCATGGCTTGGTGGGCATGGTGTGGCTTGGTGGGCGTGGCAGGGGAAGGATACTGCAAAATCTCCATTCCCTCCCCACTCCTGGGGGAAGGATATTGCAAAATCTCAATTCCCACCCCACTCTGGGGCCAGCCAGAGGTGGTATTTGCTGGTTCTCTGAACTACTCAAAATTTCCACTACCAGTTCTCCAGAATCTGTCAGAACCTGCTGAATAGCACTCCTGCTTTAAAGGCTCTAATTGAGGTTGCAGCAAGAATGGCAAAGTCCCTGATCACCCAGTTCATCTATTCTCTGGAGACTACTGCCTTGTCAACTCCTCACAAACAGTAACCATATACAATTCTTTAAGTGCGGTTGGAATTCACACAAGGAATTTGCCTCCGGTGCATAAGCTCTCAGTGTACATGCAAACAACAAAATGATAGGTCATAAATCATAGTTACTTAATATACAAACAACAAGTGATAAATAAGATACCAATAGGAGAAGATAGTAGGAAAGATGAGAAATGTGAAGATGAGAAGGAAAATAGCAATACAACCTATTACATGGGTAAATATCTTTACGCCTAAGACAGTGTACAACATAGGCAATCTCCCATCTTCTCTTTCTCCAGAGAGGGTCAAAGGAACCAATCAACTTGTCAACACCTAGTTCTTAGCCATAGTCATCCGCTTCACTTTTCATAGAGCCATCTTCAATCCACCATGTTACTGAGGAAGTCATAATAAAATGAATCTTCATGAAGTAGCAGCAAAAGCTCCTGATGCATATCACATACACACACACACACACACACACACACACACACACACACACACACAGAGGTTAAAGTCAAGGCAGACGTGACAAATTAAAAGAGGCTGCTGTCACTAGAGACCTTCTTTTAGCAATCCCTCATCTAACAATCAGTTTTCCTGGAAGTGAAACTCTGCTGAGGGCAGTTTTTGGTGTTGTTAGCCTTTCTGGATAGACCAGATAGGAAACATAACCAGAATATCTAATTCTACTTTATTGTAAATGTAGATTAACAGAATCTTGCAAATCTAAAAGTAAATTTCTCCCACCATCACCAGCCTTAGAGATTATTTCTTTTGAGACTTTTTGTCATGAGCTGTTTCATATCTGTCGATCTAAAAGAGGCATGGTGGCACAGTGATTAGAATGCAGTATTGCAGGCTAATCCTGTTGACTGTCAGAGTTTGATCCTGACCAGCTCAAGGTTGACTCAGCCTTCCATCCTTCCAAGGTTGGTAAAATTTCCCCCCAAATTGTTGGGGAAAAATGCTAACTCTGTAAACTGCTTAGAGAAGGCTGTAAAGCATTGTGAAGTGGTATATAAGTCTAAGGGCTATTGCTATTCCCTAGGCAGCATCTCTTCATCCTGTCTCCCAAGGTCTTTTCCACTTCATTACAGGTGTCTCTCACTATGCCCATATAACACAGCTGCTCCATGAGCTGCATGGCTCCTAGTAGTCTCCTGAGTGTAATGCAAAGTTGCTAGTTGTCACCTATGAAGCCTACAAGGAATAGCGGAAGGCTATTTGTGAGGCCATGTTTCTTTCATTGTTTCTACCCTCACCATTAGATCCAGCAAAGGGCATGTTTTGAGTCCCATCAAACAATGTCATCTTGTTGGACCAAGACGTGGTGCCTAAACTATGACAGTACCTGTCTTGTAGTACAGCATAGATTAACTTCAAGGTTAACTTCAGTCCAACAATCAAGTAAGCAATACCCCAATCAAAAAACTGCCAACAGTAAATAGCCCAATCAAAGAATCTCTAAGATCGCCCCCACCAGAATATAAACTGACCACAAACAGCACTCCTTACTAGCATTATTAGTAAGCATTATCCTTACTAGTTAGGATAATATATGTCTGCAAGAAAACAAGCTTGCTCAGAGAGCATCAATGAGGCCTGAGAATAGCGTCCTCCTGGAGTATCCAGGTGCTATTTCTGCAGTTATTTGGGCCAGGAGATTAGACAAGCTTTGTTGTGGATATGATTTTATGACTAGAATGCATTAGGCATCATAAACTGTTATTTGTAACTGTTGTGTTTTTAATCTTTCTATGATGCCCAGAGTCACTGCTGTGAGTTGGGTGGCCACAAAAATCGTTCAAATAAAACAAATTCATAAATAATGCTTTTTTTTTAAGGTGAATAAATTCAAATTGTACATAGTTTCAATATTTCTTCTGAATAAGAAATTACATGAAGTGTACAGCTGTTTTCCCTCTCTTGAGTTGCCAGCTGGCAAGACAAATGGCAACAGCCTGCTCTCTTCTTTTAATTCAATACCCTACAAACAATTCCTGCTTATTCCTATACACTGGGGAACATAATCTAAAATCATAAGGCTACAGAGCCCCCTTGCCCAAATCTTAGATATTGCTTCCAAAGTCCCTCCAAAGGTTAATGTTGGATTGTTGTTTTAATTTGATAGAAGAGAGAATGTATTATCAGGGTATCTTCATTGTCCCCTTCCATTCAATCATGTCCAATTAGTTGTATTTAAATGAATTTAAAGGGCAGTCCCTTTAAATTCTAAAACATTAGGAAACAAAGCATGATCCTTATCAAAGGAAAATGGCATTCTTTTATTGCAGATCAAAAAAAGAGTTAGGAAAATCAATGACAGGTCCAGCTGAGAATTGGCTTGTTTGTTTAATTTAAAACTTGGCAGTGCCAGGGAAAATTCATTTTTCCTCAGGAGAAGTCAATACATAGGGGAAATTGAGGTTGCAAAGTATGCTTATACTCAGGTTGGAAAACTCCACCCAAGAATTACCTCCAGCCAGAAAGATGCAAGAAGTATCAACTATTTGATTCATTTGCAGGGGGGATTCCCCTCTTGGAAATGTGCCCACCTGAGGTTTCAGTTTCTGTAGCAGGAAGAGCTCAGGAGAGGAGAGGAGAAGGGATGTCATAATCTGTGAATCATTACATGCTTCACTCTGCAGATATTGGGCAAAAGGGAACCATTGGGATTTCTACTGGTATACGCCCCTGCCTGAATTGCTGGATTCTGTTGTTGGGTTGGTGATAGTCTCCATTGCTGTTGATCCTTTGGGGTTTTCAATCAGCCACCCAGTAATGCTGTGTTCAGATACAACTGTACTCTCCCTAGCAACCATAGATCTAATTGATGACCCAACACATATGGTTTTTGTCTCAGGCAGTTGAGATGTGGTATAACACTGGAGGGCACTAACTTCAATCTATTGCCCTGGACAGATCAGCCCCCAATTCCCTTTCACCTCATTGGAGTCACTCCTCCCTGCAGGGAGATGGGACTGTTCCATGGGTCTGCCTCAAGGATTTGAGGGACCGAGTTGGGTTCCAGAGAGAGAGCTTGGGGTTTTGCCTAAGAGCGTGATGGGTGGTTCAACTGAGGCCTTGAGTGCTGCCTAGAATGGGATAGTGCTGAGCAGAGGAGGGTTCTACTTACTTTTACTACCAGTTCACAATGGGGGTGCGCAGATCATCCATGATAATGTCCGGGTGGGTGGCGGAGCCTCCCGCTGGTTTTACTACCGGTTTGCAAGAACCGGACAGAACCAGGAGCAACCCACCACTGGTGCTAAGGTCTTGGACTGAATTGCTCCTATGCAGCTTTGCACCAAACCCAGGCTGCACCTTGGTTTACCGAGAAGCTCCAGGAGATGCAGTGATGCCTGGAGTCCTGTTGGAGGAAGACTTGAAGCAAATCTGACCAGACACAGGTAAGAGCCCATGTTAGAGATTTCTCATGATGGCAGTGAAATGTCAATGTTTCTCTGCTCTTATTATGCCCACTGATAGTTATCCAACAGCTCTGTTTAAAGTGATCTGATCTCTTTTTGGCAGAGAGAGACCCTTACTAGATCCAGGTTTGTTCTGGGTTATGAAAATGGCTAAGGAGGACCCTAAGGATTGGCCCTATGCTTAGTATTTGATGACCAGCCTTGAAGAAGTGGTAGTGCACCGGTTCCTCAAGAAGCCATCCCTGAATCCTTTGATAACTTTTGACCAATCTCCAAATTTCTCTTTCTGGGAAAGGCTGCTGAAACCCCTTTTTCAGTAGGGGTTCAGCCTGGAATTTCATACTTAGACAGCTTCAGTCATGCCTGTTGATGACTATAGAAGAGGCTGGGATGTCAGTGATATATTTATCCTTGTGCTCCTTGATCTTTCAGCAGCTTTCAATACTGTTGATCATGGTATCCTTCTGAACTGGCTCCATGGGTGGGGTATGGGACATCATTTTATAATGATTCTCTTCTGTTCTCTGGAACTTGCAGAGATTGTTCCCTAGATTCCCTCCTTGGTAGAGTGCTAAAAGTCCTTTCCTTTTCAACATGTGCAATACATAAAACTGCTAGGTGAGATCATCCATCCGTTTGAGGTTCAGCATCATCCATATGCTGATAATACCCAATTATATCACTTGAGGGTAGTCAAGTAAGGCTACCAAAGTTCTCTCCTGGTGCCTGGAGGCTGTGTGAATTTGGATGGGGACGAACTGCCTCCA